CCACCTCCTCGTCGACGCGATCGAGCAGCTCTAGTACGAAGAGCAGCTCCACTTCGTCCTCTAGCACCCCGATGTCCACCTCGTCGTCGACGCGATCGAGCAGCTCCAGCTCGAGGGCTAGCTCCACTTCCTCTCCAATCAGCCCTAGCATCTCATCCAGTTCAACATCCGCCCAGCAGACAACTAGTTCCACATTAAGCTCCTTTTCGACTCAGCGATCGACGAAGTCAAAACCAGCAGTTCCTACTGTAACCACAGTCAACCAAAGCAACCAATGCGGTAATAGCAACGCGCCATATTGCTGCACTACGGATGGGTCAGGTACTTACACGACATGCTCACCTATGGGTAAGTACCCTGGATTATATTCGGTCATGTCTTGCTCGCAAGGGTCCTTATCTCAGTTCGCTAATCATGATAATCTAAACAGGTGGCAGTTCCACATGTTCACAGACCATAGTGTGCTGCAACGCCAACAACGTAAGTATCTTCTGTTCCATTGGCTTCGTTACTTTCCCATGGCACTGGTATACTAACCTACTCTCTAGAGCGTTCAAGTCTGTCTCGGCAACGCCAATATTGTTCTCGCCCCAAGCATTAGTATATAACGGTTTGAAGGATATGATGGTGTTTTCCTAACAAGGAGGGAACTGACTTGAGGATGCAACAATAGCAGGCTGTGTGTGTCAGTCATCATATGGCTACTGAGATACACGTCAACCCTGTGATTATTAAAAGCACAATCAGGCTTAGCAGTTGTTTGTTTTGGTTATTTATTCCTCTTTCATGGAACTGGAGATGTTGAGAACCATATCATTCGAATGAAAGCATACGCCTTGGTTTCTTTGTAGTGATCATTTAGGTTTCACCGAAGACATTAATGCGGTACTTAGTGTAGAAACTTCCTGGAGGAGACTTTCTGAAAATGGTATATCAGGTCATGCGGAGTGCATCGCCACCAGTAGAACCTATTTTCACTTCACCAGGAACCAGTGCTACCATACGCTCGTTGTGCTGCACCATCCAATGTTGCATTCGTCGGTATACAAGCCTGTCGGACATGTCTTCTAGCTTCGATCCTCCCTTCTACAACATTGCTGGCGATTCGTTCAGCTCTTTGAGCGTTTCTCTATCCGTGACTCCGCGGTGGAAGCCCGTCATCTCATCTGTGCTGTTTGAGGATGCCGACGAGGGACTACACAACACCAGCTGCGGCGGCTGCTCCGTAGTCTTACGCTCACAGAACCGAGAGTCTCGCCTGAACGCCACGTACGCTGGCAATGCATCTGCCACGCCGTCCGACTGCTCGAAGGAGGCGATTTGGTCGTTGTAATCCCGGCCCGGATACATCAAGGTAGGCATACACTGCCGCCGACACACCTCATTGAACTCTTGTAAGTAGTACCGCACATCGCGATCCGACAACTTCTTACTCACCCCATCTGGGGTGCCCAAGGTGTGGACCATGTAGCCTAGCTTGTGTTTCGGGACAACTTGCGTGAGCACAGACTGGCCTGGATTGCTGACGAAGATGTCCGCCGCTTTGACGTGCGACCACGCCCAGTCCCAGACCTGTGCAGCTGGACTTGCGGGATCTGCGACCTGATCGGGGCGAATGTCGACGTGAGACCGGTAGACCACCGGGCGGTAGAAATCAAGGCGTTTTGCTATGGTAAACAGGACGGCCATGTGCGGTTCGTCGATTGCGATCACATATGCGCCGCCCTTTGAACGCGGCGCAAGGGGCGCTCCGTCGGCCGTCCAGAGATGCTCGGCGTTGCTTGTGACCCAGTCCGTGACTTTCTGTTGCTGCTCGGGTGTTAAGTGTTGTTCGAGATTCGCAGTCCCCCGAAGTAAACGCTCATTCATCTCAGGAATTCGTAGAACTTCGGGCTTGGGGGTTGGAGTGCACATAACGGCGTCAGCTTGATCTCGATCAGGAGATGTACGCGGCGGCCGACTAACTCACCACATACTGTCCACACCCGCCAGACGCAGGAATCTCAATAGGGCGTGCTCCGTAACTGCGACTTCGCTCCCATCTGCTCTTGCTGAGAAAAAGGAAGGGTTGCTGTGATTGTTAGTATTGCTTCGCACCGATCACGCGTTGGAAGCGATGGCGCAATTTCGACGCGTAGATGGACTGGTTTACTACACTGGCAAGACTGTGTTTCGAATCGCGCTTGCGATCGAAGTCGTCAGGGCCAAGGTAGTGCGGCATGATGGGCGTGAAGCTTGAGGATGAGCAGGATTTGGCGACAGAGCCGAAGAGGATGTGGGTAAGGATGAATGCGGATGTGCGTGAACTTATCTTGAAGTGAATCTCTGAAGTGAATCGCCTTCGATTGTGATATGTGGCCGATGCTCTATTCGCTGTCAACGAGCACAATACATGAGCTGACGTTTTGTCTCGACCCAGATCATGGGGCTTGGAGGATTCCTTCGCCGCGCGAGGGTACGCTACATGCACATGTGATTGCATTCACGAGGTCTAGGAGACATATCAGGCTTCCGTGAGCCGGTCATATATGCTGAGGTGGAGTGACGTGCCACGCCATCTTCATTCGTCCTTACCCGGGAGTCGTAAAAGTGGCGATACGACATAGTCGTATCGTTCGTGCAAGGCATGACTTTATCATGGATTGGCGTGGTGATGCAAGCCTAACCAGTGACTGCTGATCAATTACGATGGAATGGCATCTGGACTACGGCTATCTTGAGTGGCGATATGAATCTTCGGACGTGGTGATGCGCGTAGCTGATATCTTTGAAAGCGCTCTGGCCACCTGGGTCGCTCCATGTGCTGTTTGCCGGAGGATGTTGGTGAAGGGGACTGGGAAGCTAAGGCTCTACGCGGCCGTTAGCGACCTGCATAGATGACTAGATGTTGCGGAGCTGACCAAGGCCAGTGCACAAGACATGGCGCTTGCAAAGGCACATCAGCTAGTCTGCAGAAAATGGCTCCCTGTGGATGCCGTGCGCACGTCGCACATGCGTCCGTAAGTCGAGCTGTCGCCATTCTTGACCTTCTCACCCAACGACGAGAGGAAAATTGATGGGTCAGCTTCCAACCTCTTTCATGCAGAAGCACATGGCCCCGTATTCTGCAGATGACCCAACAATATGGAGGAAGGCCGCACCTCTGCGCCGCCATCACTCTTACACATCCCGGTAGTGATTCCGCTTTGTCAGCCCGACCGCAAGCGGCCCGAGTTTTGTTCAGGCTGCACAGATCTTGATGGAAAGGAGGGGGAGCATTGTGGGTCGGGCATGAATCTGAAAGATAGAAGTCGGGCAGACGCTTGTGTATTGGAGTCATGCCCTTGTAAGGAAGAATGATTGATTTCCCTTCTGCTCGACGACACATGCTTCGTGCGGATGACTACGAGAACTCTATGAGAAGACGGGCTGGGTTGTAATTACTGTACCGTATAGTAAATGTTCATGCGCTGTAACCTTTGAGGTGTAATGAAGATCAGCGCAGCCGGAACAACAGTTTTACCTGCATGCCTGTGATGCTAGAGTCTACCAATGCGCGGAAAGCTTACAACGCTTTGACCGCTGTTGGTTCTACTAATAGCGGGTCACCGAGTCGCGTTCACAGAAGCTCTGAGCAGATGCTCGCGCCCGTGATTCTAGCTCATACCGTGTCTACGGCGCTTGTTCTCCTTTTCTTACAAATTCCGGGTAGTCCTCCGCTCTCTTATCCGGCTTTGGTACGCCATCGAATCCTCCTTGCCGCCGACGTTAGCGGCGACTGGCGGAGCAGATTCGAATCGTCTTCCCGTGCCCACACAGTCTCTACCGCTTTCCTCGTCCACTAGTACGATCATCCAAACGCCCACGGCGCCGCTATGGCCACGTAATGGTGTGCAATGAATCCACCTTGGACTCCCTTCTCCGTCGCCGTCTTCGTCTGCTCTTCTCAGCCAGCGCACCTTGGCCGTCACGCTGCGGCCTTCTGCAAGCACGCCTGCGAGGTCAGAGCGCACATGCGAGGAATCGCCGATGTGGTTGTGGAAGGGTCATTGGAGGATACCAGGCACGCGAAGGGAAGGGGAGGTGAAGAGGATGCGGTGAGAAGGTGCTGGGCGCACAAGGAGGTACTACATGATGTCAGCTCAATCGGACATTGCATGTGGTGACGGGCCGTGCTCACGTGCTGATAGACCCCGTCCAACTTCCCGTTCAGAGCCTCCTTAACCGTGCTGCCGATACTGCTTGCCCCACCATCTCTCTGTCCCGCGTCCAGCGCATTTTGGCTCGGGTCGTTCAGCAGTAGTCTCCTCCTCCTTCTACCGTGGCTCGTGCTTTCCGCATCATTCTCGTCCACGTACTCCTTGTGCATGCTACCACCATGTCTCCGCACCCTTTCGAGCTCCGCACTATCGAACATCTCGCTCAGCTCCTGGAACTCATCCTTCCTGCTCTCCTCCTTTATGTACGCAGAGCCTTCCGAATCCTGCTCTTCCTCCACCACCCTAAGGAGACCGTCGAGACCGCTACAGTCCTTAATCAGGCCGGACACGTCCACTTGCGCACCGATGTAATATCTTATGTTTCCCCGGCTGTCCATAAGCGGCGCAATCATCAGTAAGTCCATGAACGGACTGCCATCTCGCCTATAATTCACGAGGACCTCACTTAGCTCTTTGCCAGCTTTGCGAGCTTGCGCGAGTCTCCGTACAGAGTTCGGATCCATCCCGGGTCCTTGCAGGAAACGGCAATTGCGACCAAGGGCATAACGTATGCCGTACTGTATCGCGCGTGTGAACTCTTCGGATGCGAAGACAATCGGGTTGTTCGGCCTGGCCGAGAGCGGGACCAACAGCAGGTGGTATAGCAAAAACTTGAGCTGGGACGCGGTCAGATGTGACGGTGGGCTTGTGTTCGCGCTTATATTTGCTTGCAGATGCGAAGTCCAGAGTTTCTGTCTGGGCGGGCGCAGCGCATTGGCTGTAAACAGACTCCACTGGTGCTTTAGCTCGGTGGTACGACGCCTCCTGGGGTTGATTGTATCTGGATGCAGGTGCAGATTCCTGGCTGTCTAGCTGCGAAAATGCTTGAGCCTGTTCGTACGTGTTCTCCAGTGGCTCTTCAGCGCGGCTATCTCTTGCCGCTAGCGGGTAGTATTGGCTCTTGGGTTGGGAGGTTCCCTTCGCTGGTGCTGGCGCGCGATCGTGCCCTGCTACGCGCGCCGAATCTCTGCTGTATCTAGACACAGACGCGAAGTCCTGGGATGCCGTTTGTGTGATTGCTGGGCTTTCTCTATACAGAGTAGAAAGTGTTGGCGTCTGTTTGTACGTGGGCTCCGCAGGGGCATGGCCCCGACTGTATGTAGGCTCCTCTGGTGCTTGAGCTCGGGGTATGAGTACCTGCGGACTCTGTCCATGTGCGGGCCGATAGCGACTTTGGCTCTTGAGGCTCGTTGGGCTGCTCGATCAAAGCAGCTGCGGCCCAGGATGTGACGGATTGTTGTGCCGGTTGTGCTTGCGGAAGCCGGGAACGATTTCCAAGTGGTGCAGATTTATGTCTCGACGGTTTTTGCTGTTGCGTCTCCAGGCTCGATTCAGCAGCTTCCGTCGGAGAGAGAAACTGGCTCCGAGCAGTCGACTGAGGTTGATGACTCGTCCGTCGACCCTCGTCAGCAGGTGGCGATGGCGTCTCGGATCGCCTGGGCGACCTTGGTGGCACAACTGGCGTCGGCATAAAGATGTCACTGTGATCAAAGAGAGGCAGCGTTTCCTCCTCCTCGCTCGGTCGATCACTGCCATCAAGTTCAACCGCCGTGACACTGCCCGTAACATCCAGCGGTGCTTGGCTATCGGGAGGCGGTGCGGAGTTCAGATGATCGCGCAATTCTCGAGCCAGGCTCGTCTTGGTCATCTAGCAAGTTCTGCCAAGCGCTGGCGTACTCAACAGTGTCATCAGCAATATTGTATTGCTAAGGTACGAACCCGAATCTTATTGCTCGTTGAACATGAGTCCCACACGTCGAGCAAAGTGAACTCACATTTCCTTTGCATTTAAGCGCGTCAGGTTGGGAAATATGTTGCCCGACGCATCAGAGTAGTTTTGGTACAGATTCTTGTCGCATGACGTGATAGAAAAGTTGTCGTTGAGGATCCCAATTGACCTTCATCATGTTTTGCGTTAGATTGGAGGAGACGGAACTGAACTCCGATACCAGGTCCTCGCGGCCAACGCGCGCTTATCGTGCTAATGACATTGGCATCAGCAATCAGGTAAGTATTGAACGGAACAGTATAGCCGTAGCCACCGGAAAAGGAATACTCCGGGACTAGAAAGTCTTCGAGGTTCGGAAAATTGACGTCGGAGGGTACCTCAAAGACAGTTTGCAGTCCAGCGATTGTATGTTCAGTAGCGTCCCAGACCTAGAGTCTGGTTAGTCTCAACCAAACCCAGGAACACAGATATAGCTACCGGTTGGTGCCAGTAGAGGCCAACTTCTGGGTCATAGTAAGGTTCCCAGCTCCGATAGTGCTCAACGAGATCGTGCAAGTAGGTTTCCATCAAAGCCAAGTTGACAGTAGTGATTGCCCATTGGTAGAGATCATCGCCTATTGTCCCAGAGTATCTTGAAGGAGCTGACAAAGTGTGTGTTGCCAATTGTTGTTCAACCCGGTCGATGTTCGTCATCCATCGTTCATCCAACCATTGGCCGGAACCTCCATCGTAATTGTGGCCCAGATAAGAACCCAAATGTGCAGGGCCTTTGAAAGTGTCATAGTGACATTGTCGCTTGACCACGCTCCATCGGTAGTAGTAAACCTTGAGTAGTCAGTGTCTATCAACTTAATGATGCGTCCTTCGAAGGCATGCCTCTTGAATCATTCTCCCACTATTTCTCATATCATCACTGATAGGCAAATCATTGAACGGGACATGATTGAGATACCAGCTTGGTTCATTCAGGCCTTGGACGAGACGTTCTTTGTTTAGGGTTCCTGCGATGGCAGGGCCGGCGTAAAGCACCACGGCCACAGCAGCGAATTGCACAATCGTTCTCATTGCAACGGGCCAGTGAAACGATGCGATGGGAAAAGATGAAATTTGGAAAACTTATACGATGGAGTATAATGGCTACTATGTGCTGTATATCAGGAGGTAGCTGGACGTGGTGACAGCAAGAATGACCCGCGCTATTGCACGGCTCCACACGATCCGCGACCGCAACCAGTACCCACATCCCGGTGTTGCGACACAAAAACGGGCAATTCAGTTCTCGGGTGGTGCCCAGCAGACCTTCTATGTTAAGTGCGGCAGCGCTTCCTCGCTGCATACACTCCTCAGTCTAAATCAGCGGTCCATTTGGCGATTCTTTGGAGTTCTGAAGAGCTGCATGGAACGACAAAGGCTCTGCGCTGTCATACATTCTACTCAGAATGCATATCGCTGCAAATGAAAACTCATGATACAGCTCGCCACAAAGGACGGCGCTGGAAAGGACAGTCAGCGCTGCCTTGGCTGCCTTCACCGGCCGAGTCTGCGGCGCCTCATATCACAGCGTTACGCGTACATGACGGAGTGGATGCCTTGACATCTCACAACACATAACGTGCCCACACGATTCGATATTGCCGTCGAGGAAGTTTCGATGTGGATTGGCGTTCCATGTGAAGATTGATCTCGTCGCGACTGGCGTTAAAACGCGACCTGGATGCCTGACGTGCCCGATGGAGCCGTCTGTGGCGCAGCCCTCCTGGTTGCAAGTGCGAAGCCAGCTCGTATTGGTGGTGATCATCTAATCACTGGAGCACGACTGTGCCGCATGTCCTCACAGTAATCTCGATGCAGGTTATGCGGAGTGCTTGCTCACGAAACAGGTGGGCAATTGACGATCAGCCACACTTGAAAGTGTATTGCAGACGTCAAGTAGGCAGACGATGCTAAAGCAGCTACACTGACCACTTAATACGCTAGCCGAACAAATCGACACGAACGTTCCCATAAACATGTCCGGTTAGCGTAAAACACTCCTTGAAGGCAGACTGAGGGGGCGGGTAATAGACCAAGTGTCTCGATCGGCATTCAGCAAAGCTGGAATCTCACCGTGCATTTTGGTGTGTATGTCACGCCGACTGAGTATGAACTATCTGACGAGGATCGACTATTTTCCGATGGAAAACGTGTCCGTGGTGTACTACTTCTTACATCAACAAGACATCGGAGAGGGGAGAGAGCTTATGCGAATCTTTGCGTCGTCGACGCTGTGTCGTCGCCTACATATATGACTTCATCCTCCATCGCCTACGAGAACTTCAACGCTGGCGCCAAGGCATTCGAGCGAGCAACACCGGCGTCATATAGAGCCTGGAGATCGGCCTGCCACTGCCCAACGTACGGGCGCAAGATGCGACGATCATACGTCAACAACCCATTCACCTCTCCCTCCACATCAGTCGTCTGAGTCCAAACACCCCCGCTGCAAGCATACAACTTAACCTGGTCGAGAATCTCCCCGAGCAGACGATGACCCCTGTAATTCCATGCCTCGATCGTCAAGTCGATCTCGTATGTCTGGTTGATCGTGTTGATGGCTTCCTGGACGTTCCAGAGGTGCTCGATGGAGACGTTTTTGCCGATGCCTCCAAACTCTCCTTGGATGCCGATGCGAGTGGGATCATATGGGCTGGATTGGATGGAGTAAAAAGGTGAGCCGCACTGCGGGTTGGCGTAGTGATGATTATCGGAGAAATCACCGGCGCCGTGATCGTACCAACCGGTAGTGGCATCCACCAACCTCGTTGGATCGAGCTGTCTTACGATATCTGTTAGACGGAATTCGGGATAGTAGTTCGTAAGCTGGCCCCAGCCCTCGTTGTAGATGATCTGAAGATGTCAGCAGGTGCAAGAGCGAAGATATTTCGGACATCTTACCCAGGTAATGATGCTAGGGAATACCCTTTGCTGAGTGACGAGGAGTTCAAGCTGACGCTGGAACTCGGCCTGTTGAGTGGCGTCCGGCAGGATAGTTTCGACCGTGCAATTGGACAGAGTCTCCGTCTGCAACGGGCGCAGAGCGGGCATGTCTTGAATCACCATAAGGCCCATTTCGTCGCAAGCCTGGTAATACAATGCGTTCTCAACCTTGATATGCTTGCGCAGCATGTTGAAGCCCAGGTTCTTCAGCGTCTGCAGATCGTAAACCATAGCCTCTCTATTCGGCGGAACATAGATGCCATCTGGCCAGAAGCCTTGATCCAAAGTGCCGAAAAGGAAGAGGAATTCGCCGTTCAAGAGAGGTCGCTCGATGCCGTTAACAACTCCCTTGGAGATTGTCCGGAAGCCGGTATAGCTGTAGACGGTGTCACTGCCGACCGTGATCGTGATGTCATACAGTGAAGGCGAGCTCGGAGACCAGAGCTTTGGCGAAGACACTTGGAACGTGAACGGCGATCCAGCGGTGCCACTATGAGTGGCGACTGTGGACTTCGAGCTGCGGTCAATAATTGAGATCGAGGCGGCGGAGCTGTTTGAGCTTGAGGAAGTGATCGTCGCATTGACTGCATTGCGTTAGCAAAATCACGGTGGAAACATCGAGATCATTGTTTTACCAGTGCCGTCCATGCCTGCCGAAATATCAAGCTCCGTAATGTAGTCCGACGGTGCTGACTCGATCCACACACTCTGCCATATACCACTGCAGGGAGTATAGAAGATGTGCGAAGGATGCAGAGTCTGCTTGCCGATTGGAATGACATAGGGATCCTCATCTGTGGGATCGTGAACGAACACCAGCCTATCGCGTATGTCAGCGGTCGAATTCACCCAACACGGGGTCCTGTAAGCGAGCATACAGTTCGTTTGCGCCACTATCAAGGTAGCTCGTAACGTCGACTGTGAACGCAAAATAGCCGCCACGATGGAACGTTGCATTAAGTCCGTTCACGAACACGGTGGCTTCATAGTCAATAGCACCAAAATTGAGCAGTACGCTGCTTCCGGTCCAATTCGACGGAACAGTGAACGAGGTGGCGAACCAGGAGTAGATGTTGTACGTCGTTTGGATCCCTGCGGAAGTCGTCAGACGAAGAAACCTTACTTCGGTCACAGAACGATGACTTACCTGAAAGACCGCTTTCCAGACACGACGGCACAAGCACTTCGTTCGCCAAGTTTTTCCCAACTGGTGGACTGTTCACTGCATCCAAGCTGGAAGCATTCTGGTATGTCCAGATGCCGTTCAAGCTTTGCCACTGAGTACGCTGAAGCTGAGGACGTGGGTACTCGGGCCATGGATCCGTACCAACTTCGTACGTCCAGTCGGTAGTCAATGGAGGCGTCTTGACCGAGTATGGAGAGGCAGCTGTGCTGTTCCCACCACCTGAAGTGCCAGTGCTTGTGCTGCTGGGACTAGTTGTAGCGCGCCCAGTGCCTCTACTGCTCGGACCAGTTGTGGCGCTCCCAGTGCTTGCGGTGCTCACGCTCGCCGTACCGGTCGGGCTTGTAGTACTACCAATGTAAGACGTGCTGAGCGAGCTTCCTACCATGCTACCCGTACTTGAGGTGATCGGGTTTCCAGTCTTGGAAGACTCCCATGGATAAGGCTGCCATGAGTTCGACCAAGGGTAGGGGTTGTAGGTACCTTGGGCGGCAGACGCCAAGACGTAGGTCGAAAACACGGCCGTAGTCCACATATTGGCAGACAGTTTGTGGAAATAAGCAGTCGTGAACATTTGAGAATGGATTGCGAGCCTACCTTATTATATCATCGACTCCAACCCCTCCTCTACCCCTGTGCTGTTGCACATCACTTCTCCGCATCCTGAGCCCCTCCAACGCCCCGCTCCTGCGGCCAAAGGTTGACGCGCAGGGACATGCACGTGTGTTCTCGAGCGGCTCGCGACCGCACCGTGCATGATGCATCTGAGGATCGCAATTTCGGGGCAGTCAAGAGGCACCTTTCCTCCTCCACAACCCGCGCCATGACGCCGTCGCCGAAGACAAGCCGCGCCTTCGTAGTCTCCACTTTGACACGACGTTCCTGCTTCTAGCCCGTTCTGTTGCCATGTGGTCACGATCTTCGGGCGTCTGGTGCGCGTTCGGACGGGGATGTTGTCCAAACAATCGTTCGTGTGCCGGACCATACTGACCGGAACGTGGGCTCATCAGACCCAGATACACCCGCTCAAATAGACCCAGGGTGAAGCGACACGGGTAACGGCTCATATCATCTTTGTCTCATTCCCAGAGAGCTCTGCTTGACGAGACCAGTTTGAAGAATCGTGCGAACCTCCGGGACGAATCACACCATGACACGGAAACGTACGAGGCTTTTGCAAGGAAGCTTGGCGAGAGGGCCTGCAATGGGGCTTGAGTAGCCGAGATTCCGGAACTATTACCTCAATGTGTTCCTAGTATCAGCAAGCAGAGGGGTGGTGTATTCTCGAACGAGACATCATGACCGTGATTCAGAAAAGCAGACAGTAGCTGTGCCACAATTGGTCCGTCCTATTACGCAGCACTTGCAAAACCATGTGGTCAAAAGCTCACCACCGCGTCCTCACAATGATTCGACTATAATACTCAGCCATTGGAGCGCGTTTCCTGCAGTCATTCGTTGGCTATTGACCGAGCCCACCGTTCCGCCAACTCAGGTTTACGGTTGGCACTTGGGGCGCAAGCCTTCAAATCAAGGAACCCATTGAGACTACATACCGTCTACGTGCCAAGTCACTTCGGGGTCACGCACTCGAGAACCACGTGATCACTCAATGCATGATCTTGTCAGCGAAGACCCTCAGCTTCCATCGGAACCCACCGTCCTCTTGTCGCTGCTGCTCCTCTTGACCCGGTGGAGGTGGCGGTGGTCCACGGTTGTAGCCTCCAGACTCCGATGGAGAGCGAAGTAGTTTAGTGCTTGAGCTGTTTCAAATTCTGCCAAGGAAGTTTTCTCGGGCTCCGACCATGCACCAACTTTATCTCCAGAGTCGTCGTCTCGATCTCCGCAAAGAATCAGCCGACCATGTGGTGGGCCGCCGACGACACCTCTACTTACAGACAGAGTTATTGGGCCTGTCCACATCCGGCTCGAGCTCAGTCTCACCCCAGTGCTTCTCTCGCGGGTCGCACGCCTCCAGGTACGGAGGTCCGTCACGAGACCGTGGCGAAGTTGAGATTGTTCAGCGAAGCGACATGCCACGACAAGAACCCCTATCCAGGTTAGAAGGGAATAGATAGGTGTTACCCGTAGTGCGAGAAAGACAATGTCTTCCCCTTATAGTGCAGGAAGTATGAAGTTCGAGTGCGGCGGGCAGTGGAAGAAGGTGGAGAGGTCGGAGACAGATCATAGTCCGTACCTCAGCCGACCGGATGAGACGGCAGCTTTCGAAATGAGGCTGCACGATGGAAAGAGGCTGGCTAACACAACTTTCGCGAATCGAGGACATTACAGAATATTTGTCAACTATGATTGAAACCCTACAGCAAGCGAGGCAAGTATCCGTATTCAGCTTTTCCGCCTTGTGACTTATGCGGAAGAGAACATCCGAAAAGCCGCGTTGGAGACCATGCAGGCTCATGTGTCAGACTTGCTGAAAAGTGTGGCCTTTCGCAACCTGATCGCGGCGGGTGGGGAGATGGTGGTTGAACTCATCCAAATCCTCAGCAGTGCGAGCGACAAGACCTTGGGGGAGAGTCTTTGGGATTAGCTCTTTACAAGCGATGCTCATCACTGATGAGTAGTCTGGAACAGTCGGCGCACTGGAGCGACTTCCCATCCTCTTCCATCTCTAGAAGGTACGGATCATGATCGCGCGGCCGATACGATAGAAGTCTTCAATCATTTGAGCTCTCATTTGGTAACGTCGGTCTCGATCGATCACGCATTCGCGTTCGAGCAGGTCGCTCCAGGAGTGGCCCAGGTTCTCCGGGAACCGGATGCTCCACCATATGTGGTCGGGAAAAATGGATCAGTCGCTTCGACCTCAACGATGATAGCGTACGACAAGTGTACTTGCTGTAAGGCGTAGATCCAGCCACCATAACTGCAGAGTAGATGGCGAAGCCTTCGGCCTCTGTCGTAGCCTTCTGGGCAAAACAGGACGACCGGCCCAGCCGTTTCCATCAGTTGGCGACAGACACCGCATCCCGCCGCATGACAGTGGAAAGACTCGAGTGCGTCCTGTTCTCGCCGTGTCGGAGGCCTGACGTAGGTCGTCACTGGCGAGCGTGCAAATTGAACGTTCGTGTGACGCTTTTTCGGCATAGCGTACTGTGAGCGCGACAGTGCAATGGTAGGTTTACCTGAAATCTCAGGGCCAGAGATGACAGGCCAGAGCGCAAGGCAAGGACCCACACCCTTGGGCGAACATCTACAGAAGTGTATACTTATATATACAGTAAGCGGCAAATTAAACGTCCGCTCACTCTCATATATAAAACAAACGTAGCATATATAGTTTACATCTATGACTTGTTTAGCCATATATTGACTATTTGACTGAATTCATATATCGCTCATCGAGACCCGCTTGTGAAGTATATATTGCTTGAAGAGAGCATATATAGAATTTCACAAACACGTATAGCACCTCATGAACACATACAAATAACGACTGAAAGACTCGTGTATTACTTGTATGCGAAAGATTAAAATTACGCTCTTGTCTATCCATATTCGCAGACATACGACATGATCACAATCTCGCTTTGCATCCTAACTTAGTCTGCGGCATGTTAGATCCATGACAAGATTTTCTGTGCTACGACAGGATGGCACCTGTCTTGGCAACTTCTCAACGAATACTCTTACATGATTTGATCAATTCAAACTCATTTTCTGACAAAGCTATAGCCGGTATTGTCGGATGCAGCAAGAGGACCATCGCTAGGGTCCGCGCCAATATTCGAAAGCTAAACCGCCCATAACAAAGCCGCAACGCGGCCGGACGACCATGCTCCATCCTGCCAAAAATCCTAGAGGACCTGCTACAAATTCTGCAGGCCAAGCCAGAGTTTTACCTCAACGAAATGGTGGACTGCATATGGGACAAGTTCCACATACTTGTCTCAACAGATAGTATACGGAGGTCTCTGAAAACGTGTCGGCTCTAGTTCCTTCAGAAGTTGCCCAGAGAATCTTTCCTGGTCTAAGTCAGGATTAGACTACTTGGCTCCTCTTTGGCTCCTGCGGTGGCGAATGTAATCTTCGCGAGAGAAGTGATGTCAGATCATCTTACTAGAGGTGGGGCGGAGAATGTCATCGAGGCCAGGCGTGAAGGCTGTAGGCGACTTGCTCTTCGGTCTAGCAAGCCTCTCGGTGTCCTACAGGTGCATTCGACCGTTCGTTCGGGCGTGCAGGGACAACGGCAGGTATTTCGAGCTTAGCGGGCCGCATCTACGTCGGAGAAAGCTGAATTATCCCGTCATGCACGAGCTTGCTCGCAACACGTTTCATATCCTCGACAACGTGAGCACATTGATCAATGTCCAGCCAACTCTTGCGCGCTGACTGCCGTGGTTGTACATTGTCAGGTACCTCCATCTCATCGCCGATAGCCTCGCCAGCGATCTCGTCGGTGAGGGCTTCGGCGCGCCTCCAGTCATGGTGCATATCACCACTGCCCACGATCTTATCAGTCCTCTGCATCTTAGTCGGGAACTGGCCCATCTTGGGCTCCATACGCTCGCGTAGCAGCTCATCATACTGCTGCGGCACCCAGTCGCCCTTCGCCAAGTTCACAAGCTGATACAGATCACCGTACATCTGGTCGAAGGGTATCGTCCCGGTTTTGCGAGAAAGTGTAGCAGCTGTATTTGCGCATCAGGTGTCCGAGAAGACCTTGCGTCCGTAGCTGTCGAATGTCTTTTGACTTGACCCATTCCGCAGTTAGATGGTCTCTTGAATTCTTCAATCTTCTTCTTGCTCACAAGTTTCAGACGGACCAGCAAGCACCTGAGGGTTTAAAAAGGGAGATGTATACGCATACTCAATACCTGACTTTCGACTCCAGGATTGGAATGCGCTCAACCGCCTCATGTTCAACCGACCAATTGCTAGCATCTCCAATATGCCACTCAAATAGCGCACTGAGCTTCCATGTAGTGTCATTTATATCGATTTCAATGATATCGCCCGGAGAGCGCTGCCAGTCCACCGAAATAAAGGCAGCAATACCTGGTAAGATTCTAGCCAAGGTGTGATGGTCAGTTGGATCCAATATAAGAGCGTCCCGGATATCCGGCCTACGCAACATGTGAGATGAATATAAAACTAATGGCACGCAATACTGACCACGGTATAAGATCGAAACACATCGAGTGCGAAACCTCTATTTGCGTCTCTGTTGGGCGCATAAACGAAGGTACGCGGCGGTAATTTTCCATGCTTGGTAGTATCATCCACTGTTTAAATTAGTACTAACATTCTTCAATCGTTATTCGAGGCTTCCTTACTTTGAGAGATCGGGTGATCAAAAAGATGAAGCCGAGCCGTTCGGGAAAGCCAAGAGAGTCAAAGGGCTTTGCCTCTGCAGCGACCCACTGAGCTACTTGCACAGGTGGTACTTCCGAGAGCGAGTCACTCAAGACGACGTCTAGATCAATGTCAGTCGAGCCAAGCACCATGTCAGAAGGCCAGCTTTGATCGATGAGGAGCCGCTGACGTTGAACGAACTCCAACAGGTCTCTGCTCCGAGGAAGGACTCAATGGCGTAGAGTGGTTTGATAGGATTCATGAAGTCATATGGCGGCGCGGTTGCGTATTCCTGCGAAGTGCTCGGTCTTTCGTCTAGAATCGTGCGGTTTGTGGACTCTCCTTCTCGGTCCAATCCGCTCGAAACCCTTTTGAGACGCGCTTGTGGCGTCCTTAGGCTCGACCGAGGTAACCTGTAAGACATTAGATGACTTGCAACCTTCTAAACAGCCCGCGCAAACACGAAAGGATTCCCGATACCTACCGTAGCATGAGCGATCCGGCGTTGAAGGATTCTAAGCTAAGACTACGCTGGCGAGCCCGCCTCTGTAAGATGGAAGCGCCTAGCTTAACCGACTCAGCATGCAGCAACCTCCGATCATATAGCCGTCCTTGAGAAGGTGGAGCCTTATGCAAAACGTTATGTGTTGAGATTCCAGACAGTAGAATTGACTCCGGAAGAGAAGAGTCTGACGGAGCCCGCTCATAAGGTAAGCTCTCATCTGGGGTCGCCACATGCCCTACGCAGCTGGAACGCGAGAGCGCAGAAGAATCCTAAGACGGGCGAGCGAGATGACCATTCATTTTGCGCAGCCAGATCGCCGTCGACCTGAGGGCACTTTCAAAGCCATTGTCAGTGACTGATAATAGTCGAAGCCCGCAAGAACGACAAAGTACGCTAGTAAAAACACTGGGATGCAAAGGATGGTTGATGGCTTTGCGTAGGGAGTGAATTCTGCAGCTGACGCGTCTTTATATTCTTTAGAGGATCCAGCCTTCTCAACCTTGGGCAGTCATGGATGAGGTCGTATCCGGAGTCGGTTCATGCTCCGTGACGACGGCTTAGTATATATTAGCTTCTTTGTCCAGGCCGTTCCCACTCGCTGACTATGCCCGAGCTGCATAGCGTCACTGCAGATTGCTGAAAGGGGGTTCATCTCTGTGAAAGACATAACGTTCTGTAGCCCTCGTCATTTGCGTTACTTGATTTTCACATGGAAAGCAGAAGTCGTCTTATACATCAGACTACGTCGCCATCATAACTCATCAAGTCTTCCGCAGCTCGGCCGCTCAAACGGGAAATAGCACCGTCGAAGGATGCGTTCAAACCTTGATCAACCGACCTCATCCCTACGATGGAGCTGCAGCCAATTATAGCGATCTACGAACGACTTCGAAGCTGCTATGAGGAGCTGATTGAAGCTGTCGTTATCTTCACTATGACATCGCACTGCCCCTCTCGCAACTTCCGTAGCATATTGGCAGGACACTACTACGTAGCGAATTGGAAACCACTGACGTCGCACGTAAAGCGGGGATACGGACTGGTCTCCGCTGGACACGTTCCAAACCCACCAATGCGCCATCTCGAAGGCCCACGACCACATGCTACGATGTATTGTAGGGTCGCCCTTGAACATGGCCAGGCATTGATGGGCCGTGGCTTCAACTCTATCAGCCACAACGCGCGAACGATCTGCAGTTGTCCACTGGGAAGCCGTTCTGCGAACGTCATTTGCTTGAGGAAAAATGATCAAGTCTTGGCACCCAGCTTTGCAATTTGTTTTGCACGGGATTCTACGTATACGCTTCTGTTTAGCATCTCACTCTTTAGTTTCGTGTTGCTTCGTCCTGCTTATTACATGCTGCAATACTTCTTGAAAATCTTTTGATTCTACAGCACTGCGACGATGACGAACAGAATGAACCTATTGGCCAATGTCAGTCCCCGTTCTACTTCCAAGCAGTCCACGGTGGAGTTACATGTCGTCGCGGCGTCTGGCGAGTTCGTTGGCACGTTTATGTTCCTTTTCCTCGCCTTTTGCGGCCATAAGATGGCAGTTCAAACGCAACCCGGGAACGCCAATGGTCCAGACGGCACGAATGACAACAGCACAGTCGTGTACATTGCTCTGGCCTACGGGTTCAGCCTCCTGGTCACGGCTTGGGCAATGTACCGCGTCTCCGGGGGACTCTTCAACCCGGCTGTGACTCTGGGGCTCGTGCTCACAGGCCATGTCCCTGCAGTCAGAGGCCTGATTTTGCTAGTCCCTCAATTGCTCGGAGCCATCTGTGCAGCCGGTATCGTCGCTGCCATCATTCCAGGTCCGACCTCGATCGTACAAACGACCTTGAATTCCAGCATGAATTCCGCTCAAGGTGTGTTCCTTGAGATGTTCCTCACTAGCATGCTTGTCTACACCGTCATCATGCTGGCAGGCGAAAAGAGCAAAGACACATATATTGCGCCAGTTGGCATCGGACTGGCATTGTTTGTCTGCGAGGTTGCTGGTGTCTTTTACACAGGTGCTTCACTGAATCCAGTGCGCAGTTTTGGCCCTTGTGTTGTCGGGATGAACTTCCAGAGTTATCATTGGATATACTGGGTCGGGCCATTCCTGGGCGCTTTGGTGAGTGCCGGGTATTATGGATTTGTCAAGTACTTCAACTATGAACAAGCAAATCCTGGGCAGGATAGTACTGGTGGCGGACTTGAGGGTGAGGAGTCATAGCCTTGCTCTGCTGTGAAGAAGTGTGTCACTACTGCTGGACAACGCGATACCTTACCGAAGAAGCAGGATGGCTACATCAAGAAAGACTTGGTCACGATGTTCAACCTTCTTGGCAATGCCACATCCTCGACCTACGCAATCTTCGGACTGGGCGGGGTTGGGTAAGAGATGACACTCTGGATGAGAGAAAGTCGTATACTAATCAGATCGCCGCGCAGCAAGTCGCAGCTAGCGATCGAATATTCCTACCGTGTCCGGCAATCACATCCGCTGACATGGGTGCTCTGGATACATGCGGGGAGCGCTGCGCGCTTTGAGCAGGGAATCCGCGAGGTTGCGGAGCATATGAAGATTCGAGGACGGAATGCTCGAGAAGCGGACATCTGTCAGCTCGTACGTAGCTGGTTGGCGGATGCGAGACATACGTCATCTGCTCCAGAAGAACGACAACGCAGGTCACTATCTCGACCAAGGAATCGAAGCTCAGTACACGATCTGAGCGGCATATCGAATATGCTGGCAATCGGTCTGTTGAACATGAGGCGGTCGACCGCATGCCAACCCTGGAGTCGAAAGTCCGGTATTGAGTATGCGCATGCATCATGTCGAGGTGACATGCAATACTTACAACATTCTGGCAGGCGGACAATGGGGAATGCATGGATAGGATTCGCAACCTGCAAGGCGAGGCAAAGCTGTAGAAGCTAGGCATGTGAGAGAACTCCAGATTGCTCGGTGTATAAGACCTCGCTCTAAAGCAGCTAGAATGTTCGTCCAACATTTTGATATACCGTCGAGACAGAGCATCTCTTTCCGAAAATCCTCCGTGCCAACGGTTCGCATTCCTCTCTTCCTCGAAGTATCAATTCCTATGCCTCGATACTTCTCAACATTGTAGAGCTACCTAGGCCGCCACGGCGATTGGAAAGGTTTGAAGCGTCTCGCACTCTGCCAAATACTACTCGTGGTACATTTGAGCAGAGGGGTGTCTTTGAGCAGAGGGGTGTAGATGCCGGGCCAGAGCATGCTCTTGTGCCTCGCCGGCTCCAGCTATAGAAATAGCTTAGGAGATCCGCCCTAGCCGGTACCAGCTTGCTTGCATTCGATCGTACGAATGACCTATTGATAAGGGCTGACTTTATTGCTCCCGTAACCGACAGCTTGAAGTATAAGGCGTATGGACTGGCAAGATAGAAGGAAGGGTAACTTAATAACCGAAGCGACGACAAGCTCGCCACCGCGAAGCTAAGTGGAGTAGCACGTCGAATTGAACAGTCCCAAACACCTTGCACTGTGCCGAATATTATCCGTGTGTCCCATTCCGCCTCCCACGTGTATGTCGAGGGTACTGCCACAGTCTCCCTCTTGTATCTCGTTAAGTTCTCCATCTGCTGGACGGTAAGGATCAAAAACCTCGGGATTCACCGATACACATCTAAGCTCCTTAGCTCGACAAGCTCCCATAAGCATCAGATCGAATGCGCCTCCATGTGCAAATGACGCTAGATATGGCAGCTTCTCTGCGCCTTTGGCGGAAACAGCGTACGCAAAGCTGCAAGCTGAATTCTCCGAATAATGCACAGAACGCTCGCCTTCTCGCAAGATCGTCGTACCATGTCTATCTAGCATGCGATACTCGTCCGGCGATACGGTTGTGTGGTTCTTGAAGATGAACATTGGCTTATTGGTGTTGGCCGTGTCACCGCAGTGGCCCATTCAGAGCACATCCCATCCCGATCCATAGGGAGCCTGAGCGTTGTCTTCCTCGTTCGTGAGAGCACGGACCGCAGCCGCGATAAGACGCGTCTGATTACGGATCTCTGTGTCCCAGTCCATGTCATCTTCGAGAATGAGAGCCGAGCTGCAGACACTCTGGACTACGAGCTTCAGAAGTTCCATGTGCCCTAGCCACCCCACAGCTGCCCCGTGAGCTTCGACAGAGCAAAACTTTTTGAAGGCTCGAATGAACTGCTCAGGCCAATTCGGCTGAGCAGGGACTTGAAATTCGATGCCGCTGACACGAGCGGCCGCCCGCATGCCTTGGATCCGCCATTCAGTGCCTTGCGATAGTACGAGGATCGCCTCGAACTATACAGAATGTAGGGAATCAGCCAAGAGCAATGGTATGCAGCACGGACTTTGCTTACCCCCAGAGTAGAATTGCCCGCCGTGAAGTCTCTCTCGTAGGGCTGACGTTGCGGGAGCTGCAAATCACAAGACCAGGCTTTACCGATTTCAAGGTGTGGCAAAGTCGTTTTCCAGCAACAAAGCAAGCCGAAGGTCAAGATGAGTAAAAGAGCCAACGAGACAGACTTCGGAGTCGTCATTCTCATCGTTAACAAAATGCGAGGGTGTACGCGATGTAGAGACCGGAAAGAATCTTGTCGTGATCGGCATACCTGGATAAGTAGTACTTGCTCTCTGCCCTCCCATCATCACCCCAGGCCAAGCTCATGTGCGACTGACGTGCCACGACTTCATCACGGGGACGGGGAGAGCTCCAGCCGTTCCGCTGCCGTCTTCGTCAATCATCTTAGCGAACTAGTGTGTGTCAAAAGTTTATCGCTCAACATTTAAGGCGTACTCTCTGTTACGCCGCATAGCAATGCTATCAGGAAGTCTGTTCTCAGAAGATCCTTAGCTTTCTGCCTCGTCTCCACATTGTGACAGCTCTGAAACTCTGTTTGGGACGTGACCCTTATTCCATCGAAGCGAATAACACCACTCTTGGATCCCCAATGCCTTTTCCTCGTAGCCGAAGATGGTACTGTTTTCCACGATATCGGGCTTGCCCTTTGGATAAGGATGTCTTGGGGTGTGGTGCTGCCGACAAGTCAAGCAGTACTCTAGGACCCGCTGTGGCCCCGACATTCTTTCTCAGGCTACATCCAAAACTGGACTCTATCCAAAGACCCCTGCCAGCATCCGCACCTCCGCTCCTCCCACGGCACAATCGTCGAGCCCGTGTCCATCAACACAACACAATCACTTGTTCCCCCTCTTCGGCGCTTGCAAACTCCGGCAAAACAACGACGTCCTCTTCCCCCCTGCTATGTACTTGAGCACCGAAGAGCTCTACGCTGGTCGTGGGGACCGAGGACCCGAGTGGACCCAGAAGAAAGATGGTGTCGTTTGGCGCGGTGTCGCGTCTGGCGGCCGTAACAAAGCCGAGACGTGGACGCACTTTCATCGGCATCGATACGTGCAGATGCTGAACAGGACACGAACGATGGGTCCAGCAGTCTCCGAACGGCAGTAGTCGCGAGCCAACTACTTCGCTGCATGAAGATGCAGACGACGACATTCCTGGCGAATTGTATCTTCCGTTCTCCGAGATACTGAAGCTGCCCAAGCTAGAGAGAGGACTCTTGTTTGGAAGAAGTACAGACGCTCACATCCACCTAGGTACATCCGGTCTCAAAGGAGTGAGCGCCATACATTGCGCATCATACGTAGACGACAAACTACGCATTTGCATAGACGATTGCTCAGCGTTCGGCACGAGCGTTTTCTTTGGCTTAGAAGAGAAGGTTCTGCGCCGCCGTAGCAGCTTCGGTATGCCGCTAACATGCGAACCTGGAAGTCCATGTGGAGTCATGGCCATCAAGCTGGGAAATGTGACGTTTGCCCTACGATTCCCAAACCATGAACATGGAAGCGTAGAGTATTGCAGAGACATGGTACATCTGTCTCAAATGTTCCACAGAGATCACGAAGGTGGAAAGTCTGGCGGCGCTCTCCAGGCCCTACCCATGAATGGGAGGAGCACTGTTCCACCAACTTCTTACGACACACCGCACGCTCATCCTTTCTCCTCAACCCCTGGAGAACCGACAAAGTCTCTTACGCCATATGCGCGTGATGTCATCCCTGGTGGTGTCGCAATGCCAGACTCCTATGATCCTGGAGGAGCGATTCCAGATCATGCAGGCATATTTGGAATTTCTCTCTCGACTTGGTATGTCATCCAATAATCCGGCGGAGGCCTGAGAAGAGCGACCAAGCATACGGTGGTTGCGCGCCCCACTCTATCCGGGATCGCCCTCATCCTTGTACATGACCCCGCCATGGCCATGCGGACGTTTACGCCACAGCTACTCGGCGTGGCAATGTCAAAGATCAAAAGTAGGTAGTACGTATCTTCCGACTTCTTTGTTATCGCGCAGAAGAGTGACGACCTGAAGTTGCTGAAGTGGGTGGAGACACACGGGTGTGGAGTCGGTGCGGCACGGGAGTAGTGTCGAAATATTCAAAAACACCGGCGACCCCGGAATTCGGCAGCTCCCGTAGAGGTGGTTCGAAAGCTCTCCTTCGAAGAATAGCCGCTTGTTAAGCGCAATACTAACGTTATATGCCTATAAAATCCGTAGTACTAGACTGGGCCTGTTCGCCACAATTACGCCCTATCTAGATGTCGCTCATGCTGCCGCCACGACATTCGCAAGCAGAGTTAGCAAAATCGTCATCGCACAGTATGTAGCGGGTATACGGTAGACGATGGAACCCTAAAGCCGTTTGAGTGGCTGAAGGCAGGCGATGTGGAGTTGCAGCGGCACGGGGTAGGACGGAAGCAACCTTGAAGTTACCATGCTTCGACTGCCTTCTGATGCAGTAGCCTTACTGCAAGTGGTCTACCTTTGGCATGCTAGGCGTGCGCCCACACTCTGCTCTCCGTCGATACCATCGTGCCCTTGTCATCAGGGCCCCGGGAAGTACTCATATATTCACGGGGGCTAGAAACCGGAGCCGTCACCGGGAATGATCCATAACGACGCCTGCTTTCGCCGCAGCTAGTGTTATTGCGCCAATGGGTAATCACCGGCGGGTGTACGACAGCTTCAACCTTGGTAACAGTGCGGTGAGTATTCTGGTCTTCCTACTGGATTTGCGGCGAGTTTCGCTGAACAGCATCATCGGCCCCAGTCAAGTGCATACTGACGGCACGGTTGGGCCTATGGGGAAAAGTTTAATGGGTTCGATGTCTTGTAACGGTGAATTGTGCGTGCGGACTCGGCCAAAGAGAGTCAAAATGGTATCGGGTCAGGACGTAATCTCACCAGGATCGGACCCCATGGACGATCACCACACTCCTCAACATGGATTGACTACTCTACGTTGGCTCAACCCATTTGGGGCCCCCGGTCGAAGAATCAGTGTTGCGCCAAGCAGCTGCCAGAGCATTGCTACCGCTACGATGGTGCCTTCTTCATGGCGACTGCAATGTGCCTCGGAGAAAGGACCTGGCGCGGAGCTCTGCAGATGGATCGCACATACGTTTCCCTGCCGCTCATGCAGAGTACAACCAATCTCCCATAAACGGCAGTGGACTCGCGACCCTCTCGATCCAACAGATGGAGTCGGTACCACCTTGGCTGCTCCATGACAGAGGTCCGCAGATCAAGGAACGCGTCATCCCATGACGTCCCCAAGTACGTATGCCAGCTCGAGGGACTGGATGCGTGGCCATCAGTAGGCTTGTATAAGAACCTGGCCTCCAGTCCACCATCAAGACGTTCTACTTCCACCCTCTTTCTGAAGTCCATTCGCCCAACCAACTCCAGCAACTTCTATCACACATACCCGCTTGATTTGCAAATCTTTCGCCTTTCATCCATACCAAAATGCATCCCCAAACCTTCATTGGCTTTGCCACTTTAGCGGTGGCTGTCATGGCTATCCCAGCCCCAGCCAAAACGAATACGTGCGCTTGCCCGCCGGTGACAACGTCTTCGGTTGCCAATACACGTTCCACCGCGGCACCTTCCACCAAATCTGCTTCCACCAGCACGGTCGCCACCAGCACGGCGTCTACCAGGTCGACTTCTATCAGCACTGCGTCCACCCAAGCTGCCTCCAGCAAAGTTTCCACTACTACAGTCTCCACCAAGGCGTTCTCCAGTACATCGTCCAGCGCCGCCGCCGCCACATCCATCAACAACGGCCAGCAATTCATCAACAACTGCACCAATACGGGCATCTCGATTACCGACTTTTCCTAATTTCTCAACATTGCCGCATTGAACGGTAATAGCGTTAACGTTGGTGGTCCATCTGCGCCACCAGCTGGTGCTGTTGAACAACGGCCAGCAGTTCTTCAAACAGTGCACGAACATCGGCGTCTCCATTTTGGATTGCGCTCAACTCCTTAACTTCGCTCTTTTGAACGGTAACTCCATCGACATCTCCCTCGCCGACTTGACGTCGCTGCTCACCTCCCTGGGCCTTCCTGTCACGCTGGCCTCTGCCTTGCCGGTTTCAGCCGCGGGATTGGTTAGCTTGCCTGCTACCATGCTCTGATCGATGGTCATCAGTCTTACACGGTATGAATTTTGCGCTGGCACATTCAGATCAACCCCACTCCTTATTAAATGTATGCTGACATGAAGAAGAGTACTGTTTACAACGCCTAGTAATCATGGCGCTGGGGAAGATCAAATAGCATGATGAGGGATGGTAATTCGCGACCAACCCTTCACTCTCTTTTCGACTGCAGTTTACGGCTATGAACTATCGTATGATTGGGCATAGGTGAGAATGATGCAGTGCTTGTGGCAGAGTTCTTTCGCTTCTACGACTTTACATGGTAGTGGTATGATTTGAAATAAGTATTGATAAATAGTTTTTTATACTACGCAAAATACATGATGATTATATCTTACCCAATGGTATCACATTGCTAGACGCACAGCACCACCCACGTGGGGGGAAGAAACGCACATGGGGTAGCGTTGATCACGTGACCCGCTTTTCCGAGGATGAAACGGCCGGATGGGTTGAGTACACGACACAAGCTACGTAAGGTGGACGTGTGGGTGGAACTTTCTGCTTATGACATACACTGGCGCCAACGCGGGAAATGAGACCGTAATCAGACGCAGTAGCGGCCGCACAGGTTCTTCGCGACCAACGGAATCGTACTATCAGCATTGTAGTCGATGACATTGTTAAGCTCCCTCGTTGGACCGCGGTCTGCAACGTTGAGAAATTGTGCTGATTCTTGAGTCCAACACTGATAGGTCTGCCCATCTGCAAATATGTCTCAACTGCCACTTCCCTGCATGTTGCATTCATACCTGTGCCAGAATGATGACCTGGAGAATCAAACAGGACAGTTTTTCTTTATGTAGGCATTATTCTGAGAAGATGAGTGAGGTCCATCCTTTGTTGATGTACTTTTCGGCCTTTAGCTCATGATGGTGGGCCGTATGAGAGTGAGGGAGGGATAGAAAGCCTATTCCACAAATCTTCTTTACAAGAGGTGTCCTCAAGTGTGTCTGACATCTTGCCTGAACTGATCTAGCTTACTTCAGCGAGCCTTGCAGTCACCTGTGCTTAGGTGTCGTTGTTTGCATCGCCCAAAGCTAGTAGGCTTCTCTGGCTTGCCTGGTGCACTTGGCGGAGGATGGTGAGCTTTTGCAGTAGTGGTAGGTCTGCGAAGCCACCGGCCTCGTCTTTCAGCGGTAGGTGTGCGTGCTCAGCATCAAGGCGGCAGTTGGCAGCGTGCATGACATACACGTCGTGTTTTAGCAACGTCATGGCGTGCTGGCAGCGAGACTGCTGCTCTGCGATTTGCTTAGTGGTTAAGCGGCCGCTTAGCTGAAAATCTTGAAGAAGCCCGGCGGATGGATGGGAGTGTTCTGCGACTGCTTGTCAACCGACGCAAACGAGGGGGGCAAACGCTAGCGAATGTAACTTGCACAGCAATATACCTTGTAGACTGGACCGTTTATTCTGATCAAATTGATACGTCGCAAGCTTCACCCGCTCAAGGGTAAGAAACTGGTCCAGGAGTGCAAGCAGCACATCCATTTTCTGCTCAACTTGGCGCACAGAATTTTCTGACACCAGAGACATTGGCGAGATTAATTCTTGTAAATAATTCAGTATGCTCTAAAGCTGTTGAGCGGTCTGCGTAGGAGTAACGTATCAAGAACGTCGCGTACTGTACAGTTTTGATCCTCCGGAATACAAGGGCCTCGAAGAATGCGTGTCAAGCCGATGGAACCTAAGCCTAAACTCTCGCTTCTACCGCGATTCTTCTTCGCGTGGCGGCAGATCTATATCACCCCAATTCCGTACGCCGCAACGACGCGATAGAGTACCAGCACTCACTACACACTACACATCACGGAAGGCGCCAAGATTAGACACATTTGGTCTTAGTGCGCGACACAGGCTCGTGGAAGCTTGCGAACTCTGACGAAGTCGTTGTTCGACTGTTAAGTGCTAGTCCCAATCCACGCTAGCAACGTAACCTGTGGGGATTCAGTTCCGCACTAAGACAGATACAGAGTCGAGTTCATTTTCCGTATCTCAACCCGCTTTCACTACCTATGACTGAACCACTAGAAGCGCTTTGCTATAGCCAAGCGGGCTCATGCCCAAATTACACACAGACAATTCTACCGAGGACTAACAACATAGCAGCGCGCGCAAGTGCTCAAAATCATGTGCCAACCACCTATACGGGAGCTGCCGAATCTCGGGGGTTGCAGTGCTTTGAAGTACTTTAAAAGGCCATGCGGCAATTGCAAGAGCAGAATTGGTTCACATGTAGTACAAGTCCAGAACCTCAAGTACTTTTACTGTTTGTGTGGTCAGCCGACAGCATTTCCCCGGAAGACCGCGGGCTGTCAGACGACATGCAGAGTTAGAGCATGACGCTATGAGCGCCATTTCTCAACTGACAGCCTGCTCATAACCATACGCGACAAAGAGCGATATTCTTATTCGGGCGAGCGGACAGTATCACAAACCCTTCATCCACAGACCGGAACCTACCCAATTTTGAACCTAGAGAAGATCAATGCATAAACATTGCGGCAACCGCCCAATTCGTCGTAGCCTACAATATCTACATACCCTTTCTTGTTAGGCCGGGGCCAGTTCTCGGGCGCTAGCTATTCGACTCCATGTTCCGAGTTTTACAGGTCCAAGCAATATCTCGAGCGCGGCCGCAGAGAGCGCGATTGATGTAATCGTCGATGCCTTTGCCGCAGCACCAATTGTTGTCACGGGAATGGTTCCACGACAGCCGTAAACTTTGGTAGCAGTGCGGTATATTTCTTGGATCTTGCCGCACACTAAACAGCATCATCGCCCCCACTCACGTGCATATAGACGGCACAGTTACACGCACAAGGAAGGTTCCCATTGGGTGCGATGTGTTGTGACGGCGAATGGTATGCGCGGAACAGAGTTGTGAACCAGTCTGCCATAAACGGATTGTCAGTGGACCAGGCGAGCGGCTTGATCAAACGGATAGAAGCAATGTCCGCTTTGGCTATCTAGTGGCACAGGGCTGCACATGATGGAACACAGTAGTGTATGACGCCTCCAAGGAACCAATGGGTCAAACGCTATCGAATCTCTCAGCCGTGTCTGTCCGCGGTGAGGCCTTACGCATGCCAGCTTTGAAGACTGCACGCGTCTACGCCAGACGACGTCAATAATAAGATGACTCCCGGCTTGTGCGTCTCGATCAAGACCACCCCTGGGTATGACGGAGCTATGAATCCAGATTGGACCCTAAGTGCTAGATGAAAAGTCTACATACCTCATGTACCTCGGACAGACAACTCTCAGAGCTGCTCGAGTTCATGCAAGTTCGCAAGCTCAAAGGCAACTCGGCATGGCCCAATAGCGGCAACGGCGTGCTTGGCGGCAACCCCGCAAGTTTTATTAGGCTAGCGAAGGTGAGCGGTGGAGTACTTCCGGGGAGAGCATGGCATGCACACAAGGCAACTCCTGAAGTAGGATTGAAGCTGCGGCCAGGCGGTTGATAATACGATAAGCGACTGTGGTTGCTATGCAAACAACGACATCCTGCCCGTGGATCTCATAGCTGATCGTTGGCGCCGTTGCTGCGGCGTTGCGCTAAGGCCACCGCACCACTCCTGTAAAGCGGTTGGAAGGGTAGAGGGTGTACGTCACTCGCTTGCAGCTGCGGCAGCATGTGTAGGGGTCCAGAGCGGCGAGTAAGATATCATCAATGGAGATCTGCTCAAGCTCGTCCAGACGATTGGCGCAACGGAGCTGCCTTGCTGTACGTCGTGCACTTCGCTACCAAATCTTGTAAAGAGGATAGCGGTGTGGTAGGGAATGGAAAATCCAAGTCCACCTTACCGGTCCCCTTTCATGGTCGGCTTCGTGTTGTTCAAGATCATCCCTTCGAGCACGGACCGTGTGTGATCACACCTTGCCAAGTGAAATTCAGCGCCCCGCACCTTAGTAGAGTTTGTGAGGGCGCGATAAACGTGCATAGACCAAGCCTGAGACACAGATTGCGCGACAGACGAGCGCAGAGAACCTAGCTACTGGATCTTGAATGTAGCGGAGACTCTACAACAGCCAACATTCTTGCGTCTCTCATGTCTTTCAAGACGATGTCATGAGAGTACATCGTTGACGCGCGAAGGTACTTCAGGTTTTAGTGAGGCGACCGCAGGAGATAAGTATTGGCATGAATTACAGGGCGGCCACGAGCAACATTCCGGTAGCCTAGTAAGCCAAAGGTGCCACACTTCGCCAGCACAAGACACCTATGCTCCTACTTAGAGCATTCCAAATACAGTCCTTCATGCGGAGGCAGTTTAGCAGCAGAAACATTACGTGTCAACGCCGCAACAGCCTTACCACCGTCCTCAGAAGGCCCCCCTTGCCGAGTTCGAGAGGTTGGCTATTTCAAGTTCCTCCGCACGTCATATCCATCAGCAACAGCAGCAACTGCAACGACCGCACCAACATCTACCGCAAGCATAGGAATATCATCTGCCCCCACAGCAGCCGCAAAATGTATCAGCAACCAACGCCGATCCATGTGACACCCATGCAGGTACGACCCTACAGCTAGACTATTGGACGGCTCTTCCGCGGGATCGACCACACCTGCATACATGCAGCTAGAGGCTTGTTTTCCGCCCGATACTGAAGGTGCTGCGGATCGTAATTCGAACTGAGAGGCAGCGAACGCTGATTGCCGACGTCACCCCGCATCGCCCACGGGCAAAATGGCAGTGGCTATTTACCCAACTAACGAGATGGTACAGCATCCTATGACAGTTCAATGCTCGGATATCCGAAGATGGCAATGGCAGCGCGAAATCGCCGGTATGTAGACCCTTACCATTCGGCCGACTCCGGCTATGGTTCGACAGTACTCTCACGAGCGCCTAGCGAACAGGGTAATTGGCCAGACACCGCCAGACCGAATGTGCTGTCAGGCTCCAACAGCTTCTTGCCCGAGATGAGCTTGAGCGACGATCTCGCACGAGAGCCGGCATGGTCTGAGGCTTCGTTCGGCGGCGATGAGTCTGCCGCGACAACCCCCAAGGCTATCGAAACCCTACTTCAGAACAACAGGGACTACTTCTCGTCCTTCGATCCCACCAACGATAGTCGCTTGGCCAGGCCGATCAAGAAGTCCTCACTGAAGCAGACGAGATTCGAATGGTCACCAGCGCGCACCGATACGACCCAAGAAGAGCGGAAGCATGAATGGAAAGAGTCGAAGGCGTCGCCTCGATCCAACTATCTCCTTGAGCCGGTTGAGGGACAACGGCCAAATTCGTCGGCACTGCCTCAATCGCAGCCAGAAAACGCGCAGCCGGTCAGCTACTCAACGCAAGCTCCCGGGTCGTATGACGAGCCTAGGCCAATGTTCCCTGCCCCTGTGCGAAATTCAACTCCACCGCCTCAGCGCCTCCCGGAGCCGCAACCTCAGTTCAGTGTTCCAGCTAGGCTCTCGACGCCGCCACCTTCCCGTGATCGTCATGATTCGAATTCATCGTTGCGCTTCTCCTTACCGCCGTCTCGGGAGCAACTGATCCCATTTACTCCTCTAAAATGTATCATATCTGGTCGAAGCAGCATTGCTTCGCTTGGTAGCTTAGAGGGTTTCAAAGTAAATAGGCGCCGTAAGATCTTAGATGAGGAGGGTGAGGTGATTGGTGAGCTTGTAGATGGAGACATCATGGATTGCGTCCGCCAACAAGTCAATGCCTACGGCGAAGTGCTCGACGATCATGGCAGAGTGGTCGGTCGGGTACAGACATTGGGGCAGTCGATGGAGTCGCCGATTATGCGTGTCATTACACCAGCACCGATGCAGCATCAGCAACGGTACCCTGCCCCAAAAGCACTGCAGAGCACTCAACAGACACCACTATCACCCGCAACACAAAGGCAGCCTCGTCGGCAGTACGGTGCTTCCCAGCCCGATGTCTTCACACCGGCATGGCAGCGTCAGTCACACAACAACCACTCGAGCCTGGCTCGAGAATTGCGCGATCATCTGAACTCCGCACCGCCTCCCAATAGCCAAGCACCGCTGGATGTTACGGGCAGTGTCACAGCGGTTGAACTTGATGGCAGTGATCGACGGAGCGAAGAGGAGGAAACGCTGCCTCTCTTCGATCACAGTGACATCTTTATGCCGACGCCAGTTGTGCCACCAAGGTCGCCCAGGCGATCCAAGACGCCATCGCCACCTGCTGACGAGGGTCGACGGACGAGTCATCAACCTCAGTCGACTGCTCGGAGCCAGTTTCTCTCTCCAACGGAAGCTGCTGAATCGAGCCTGGAGACGCAACAGCAAAAACAGTCGAGACATAAATCTGCACCACTTGGAAATCGTTACCGGCTTCCGCAAGCACAACCGGCACAACAGTCCGTCACATCCTGGGCCGCAGCTGCTTTAATCGAGCAGCCCAACGAGCCTCAAGAGCCAAAGTTGCTATCGGTCCGCACATGGACAGAGTCCGCAGGTACTCATACCCGAGCTCAAGCACCAGAGGAGCCTACATACAGTCGGGGCCATGCCCCTGCGGAGCCCACGTACAAACAGACGCCAATACCTTCTACTCTGTATAGAGAAAGCCCAGCAATCACACAAACGGCATCCCAGGACTTCGCGTCTGTTTCTAGATACAGCAGAGATTCGGCGCGCGTAGCAGGGCACGATCGCGCGCCAGCGCAAGCGAAGGGAACCTCCCAACCCAAGAGCCAATACTACCTGCTAGCAGCAAGAGATAGCCGCGCCCAAGAGCCACTGGAGAACACGTACGAACAGGCTCAAGCATTTTCGCAGCTAGACAGCCAGGAATCTGCACCTGCATCCAGATACAATCAACCCCAGGAGGCGTCGTACCACCGAGCTAAAGCACCAGTGGAGTCTGCTTACAGCCAATGCGCTGCGCCCGCGCAGACAGAAACTCTGGACTTCGCATCTGCAAGCAGATATAAGCGCGAACACAAGCCCACCGTCACATCTGACCACGTCCCAGCTCAAGTTTTTGCTATACCACCTGCTGTTGGTCCTGCTCTCGGCCAGGCCTTTAGTGCTGCATCAGCGCCACAAGTTCATGTACAGCAAATGCAGCAGCAGCAAACGGTCGTCGTCCAGCAGCAGGAGGAACCGGGGCAGTCGCGCCGCGGTTTCCTTCGTTTCCCAATCGACAGCAGCATGAGCGATGTGTCGAAGTCGTATCTCAGACCTACCATGAGTCCGGTTTCAGAGACAAGCAATTTTGTGGAGGAACAGGATAGTTGGAGAAGTCCAGCGTTCGGCTACAAAGGCGATATCCCAACCACTGAAGGCCCACTCTCCAACGCCAGACTTGCTCCAAACCGAGCCAACGGGGTCAAGTCTCCGCCCCTCCCAAGCTTTCCCCGTCAAGCATTCAACGGCGGTCTGCCCAGCGCGAGCCCCTTCACACCAAGGAACTCTGCGCAGTTCTCATCCGCCGGCGTTTTAGGCCCTCGCAGCAACTTGGCTCCTCGCCAGTTTACGACAGGCGTACCGGGTCCGAGACCGATCCCTCAATTTCAGAGCAAGAACTTATACAATGCCCCGCCCAAGTGCTGCCCGCTGAGCAGCCACGGTAGTTATCTCTCCACCATCACTGCCTCTGATGCGGGCACTGCTGACGAAAATACAGAGATTAAACCGCCTGACAGCGATACCGGCTCCAATGACGCCGAGAATAGTGCAGGCGAAAATCGTGTGGGGATTGCTAACGGTATGCACTCCCATCAGCGGAGTCTGAGGAGTATGGGGAGCATGCAGTCCACCGCCAGCAAGCCGAGGACGTACTTTACGCACCGTGGGAGGGCGAGGGTTGATGCCCACGGGCCTCTGCGCGCGCAACAGGCTGCGCCTGAAAAGCAGCCGGTAAAAGAGCCGGCGCCGTCCGTCATGTCGAAGAACGAGAAGAAGGGTAGGTTTAGCATTGGATTCGGGAAGAAGAAGTAGAGTTATGCACCACAACCCGACACCTCGTTTGTCTTGGAGAATTTCTTTTGTTATTAGTCCAAAATGTGCAGCGTTAAGCGCGCCCTAAGAGGCCTTGTACAGCTCCGATGGTGGAACATTGGGGTCACGGAACAACTTGAAGTCAGTAGGCTGAACCATCACTACGGATCAAGATAGGCCTATTCAGTAGCACGCCTGGTTCCAATTAGGATTGCAGACCCTTGCTGTTGCTAAGTTCGCTCTGAAGCAGGTGTCTGTTGCGCGGCCAATATTCTCGAGACTAGCTGAGTTGCTACAGTCGTGGATGGCTTGACCGGTATTTTCAAAGTTTCTCTTGGATCGAAATGCTAACCGGTCGTGAGGCGACTAGCAAGTATCGCAATCACGCAGCTTCCATCCCCATGCACCCACGCAGCCTCTCGTCGACCATGTCTGTACGTCACAACGGCATGCACCTGTGCTATAGGGACGGTGCAGAATATCATGGTCCCAGCAGTGGTCGTCTGTCCGTCATATGAGAAGTAAATAAGCAGGATGTCCAACGCTATCCCCCGGGCGCTGCAAAGTGGAACGAACGGGTTTGACTCTGGCTTCGGCTGATTTTAGATTTTGTTTTAAACAGAAAAAATATTATATTAATGCTAATTTCTATTGAAATATTGTTATTAGCTATAACATTTCTTATTTTACTTAGTTCACTTAGCTTTGATGACATATCTTACCCTGGTCTGCGTCAACGTTGGCAACGAGACGATGCCGCAGGAGCAATAGCAGAACGAAGTTCCGACACACAACATCGCTGCAAGGTATAGACGCCCAAATGCAGTGCCAAGCGATGCTCGGCCCGCGGTGCTTGCTCTCCCACAACTCTTAAGAGTTCGTGCCATGCACTTTCCCTGATACACAAGTGGTCGCAAATTTTGACACGGCCGAGTGGGGCGTGCTATTTAATTTGACGACGCGTTCTGTACTTCCGGGCACAATTGCTGGGTACGTAGCGGCTGCAGCCGAATGGGGTAGAACCAATCGACCAACAGTTGCTAAACGAAAACGATCAGCGCTCTGGCTGGCAGCATGTCGCAGTGCCAATCCCAGCCAGAGGGTCCACCAATCAACGCGTCAAACACGACGCTAATCGCTGATAGTTAACGGACGTGGAAAAGACAGCGGGCCTTGATCCGCTGGATCTAATTTGTCAGTTCGTATACAACTTTTCCGGCTGGTACGGTTGTGAGATCGCTATTAATATTACCTGGCTGCCCACGCAGTTACCCCTTGCGATCATTCCCCGTGTAATGAGCCATGGTTTCTTTTCGCGCTGCTCGTGAAAACGAGGATGACCTCGTAGCTCGCATCATCTATCATGCTTTTCGTCTGGCTTGGTTGGTTGACCATCTGCTGCGTGGAGATCCTATTGCTTACTACCAAGTAGGGATGCGAACTGGTGGTCCAATCTATCAACGCCGCCCCGGATACTCGACCCATTCACCCCAGGGAATAGCGCACCGGAGGCCACTGTAGAAGGAGGCGATTGCCTGAGCTCCAAAGAAAAGACCCGGCTAAATCTGTATCGGGCCGTTGTCGCGCTTACTGGGGAGATAGGTGGATCAGTTAATGTCGCCGTGGGTGAGCAGGATTTGCCAGTGGCTGTATGCCTGTGGTTTCCGCCGCATATCCGCCCCTCTTACTGGTCTCAGTATCGCTCCGGGATTCTCCATGCAGTGTTCGGCTTTGGCATCGCAGGGGTATATCGATTGCTAAGCTTCCAAAACTTGACCAAGGCACTCTACTCCTCTTCGCTTCCACAGCTTGGCATCAGGTCTGAAGATTGCGGATATGTCTGGATATTGTGTACAGGTCCCGAGCATGCTGGGCATGGATATGGAGGGAATCTGCTGGCTTGGCATCTCGTGAAACATCGTGGGCGGTTTCCGATGGTCCCTGTGCTGTTAGATACCTCCACCGTATATGCGGTGAACGTCTACAAGCGCTTCGGTTTCACCGTGGTCGCGTCGAAGCAGATGCGGCTAGATGTCGATAGGAACGGTTTGCGCGATAGACGGGTTCTCACTCAGAAAGAGAAGGATGGGAGGACCGAAGGGCATACCGTTCGGGCAATGATGTGTGAAGCCGACGGACAAGGGTAGATCAAGGAAGACCAGGCAGGCGTTCGGTTCGTTTGCGTACGGCTTCTCGCGAGACACGTACGACTTTCTACAGGGCTTCTATGCTTTCCCTGAGCAATGCAATCACAGCGCCAGAGCTTGAGGCTTCCTGCACGGCCAACTGACTTTGGCGAAGCTTATCTATGCGGCCTGGCGTAAGCTACAATGTCGGAGCATGACAATGGCCCTGCACCCATCATGCCACCGTCCCACAATTTCTGTTAAATATGCGGGTAAGCCCTAGGATTTGGCCGTGAGCTGGACACTCACCCTACGGACGTCGCGCACCGACAGAGAGGAGCGATGGTGGTGCCATCTGCTGGTATGCATTCATAACAATGTACGAAGGCGCGAGCCTCACGGTGTAGGAAATTCTCACTTCTATACAGATGCGCCTTTCCATATATCTACCCGGGTCTGGTACTGATGCCATGCAAGTCGCTGGCAGCAAGGCACGACACATCTGCGAAACAGGAATGATCGGTGTCTCGCACGATCGATGATCGATTCTGAGCCGCAGATGGGATACTGTCGGATTTCGACAGCCAAGAGCAGGAGATTGCCTTGCACGTGTGATGCTTCTGGCAACAGAATGTCGATAGAACGATTCCTGCAGCTACTGCAACGTAACTTCCTCCGTCATCACGGGCATATGGACTGGGATGCAATTTATGTCACCTGACGACTTCTCGTACAAGTGCGACATACCTGTCACAGCGCGCCTCCGCGTGATGCAAATTATGCGTACAGCTGGCAGTAGATCATGTTTCCTGTATGATGCAGAGGGTGTGACTTCTTACATGTTGCGTTACGCGAGTTAAATGTGCACGGCTTAAGCACGGCAGAGCGTGTCAAGGCTGTTTTTGGCGATCTGTGGTCTCAGACAGCGCAGGCAAGCAAGCTCTGGACGAGGTTCAAAAGATTGGAAGGCAGAGTGAAAAGAAGTCGACTACCGTCTTATCAAGATCGAGGGGATCCCATCTTAGCTGTTCGGCGGCCGCATCGTCGCTATGGCTGTCACCGCAAAGTAGAGTTTCAAGTACGTTCACTAGGAGGGAAGGAACACGCTAGACACAGTAAACGGTCGGTCTAGCAATCGCAGTGAAGGCAGGCAATAATAGTTTCGGTGTACATAACTGGGTTCTCCGGGGAGCCTTCGCACACGCCGGGGCGGGCGGCGGCGGCGGCGGCAACGTACTCTGAGTGCAGGTCTCTGTGTCAACGTTAGTCTTCAATGGAACCCAGGCAGTCAACATTCCATTCATGGCGCTTGGACTCGACAGCAGGCGAAATGGAGAGCCTGCTGCTCTCACCGCCGGAATCCACACGCCTGCTTTCCCACTATGATCTTCGGAGCACCTACAAGCAACTCCTCCGCCATTACGGTCTTAAAAAAGCGCTTATATGACTCCGAGTTTTGGTGTTCTTCAAGAGCTTCTTGCGAAGCATACCTACAGTATCACTCGTGTCAGCACCAGCCTTGCAACACAAGCCGTGTACACGCACCGCTCAAACAGCGAGATCGGGATCTCATCCTTGATCTCGCCCGATTCCTCGTACGCTTCGAAGGCCAGGGTACTCGGCTCGTTGTCTCGGATCCATTCTGTGGCCGTCTCCACCGCTGCCTTGAACTACGGCATCATGTCAATAGGTTCGTGGCGAACTTCATGGATACTAGCATCGCTGTTCCTGCTCCAGTTTGCCGGGCGCCGGTTGCGTTACAGCCACAATGGTTACTTCCTTCGACATTCTGACTGGAGAGCGGAGTGAGAAGTGCGCCGCTGTGTTGGTGTTCGAATCTACGGAGGGTGGGCGATGGAGAGGACTGATGTCAGCTTGACGTACTGGCGAGTGTAGAAACCCAGGAACAGTCTCGCCTCTTAGAGCTGGAGTAGTGTACACCCGAGGTTCACCTCCAGAGTTATCACAGAGTTTCGGCTCCTTCATCCGGACGATCTTTGTTATCGATATCGCGAAAGCTTGTTGTGTCGTAACGATCAGATGAAGGAGCGTCCAACTCGCAATCCGAAATCAGCGTCTATGGCAGGGCGGCTTGTCTGTGCAGGCGATTCTATATGAAGGGGGATCTACAGCGTCTTCCAGTCATAAGCATTCTCCCACGCCGCACCAACCTTCAAGCAATCGATGTCGTACCACTTCTTGCCCACAATCTGCAACCCCGTCGGCAGATCTGATTGTCTCATCGTCCAGCGCAGACATGAACCCAACTGGATTCGTGAAAGCTGGGTGACCAGTGCCTGCCCGATGAAATCAGCACATACCCTACTAACGACCAAGACATGAGGCATTACTGTTGGATGGTCCCGCATTACCAAGAAACGGGTCCTCGCTATTGAACGGTGCGGTGTTGCCTACCAACCAACGTTCCTGCTCAGCCTTTCAAGCGGATCATGAGCAGCTGGGTCGTCGAAGAGCTTGCAGGGCGTGGGGGGGAGGGTAGAAATCAGAAGGACATCGACAACCCTAAGTGCGCAGTTGTAATCGTCCTGATGGCGATAGACATTAGTACTCTAAACTTTCCGCACAATTAGGAACGCCTAACATTTGTGTGCATCAGGGTCTGCCCACTTGTAAAGAAAGTGTTCGTTCTCTGCACTAGCCAAGGACGTTGGATCACGACCTGCATGGCTCTTCTCGCGCCGGAGAAGGTCACGGGTATCATTCCGCTAGGCACGTCGATGGATTACGAGTGGGAGCGCACCCGTTCGCTGGGCTGCTGGAACGGGCCCGCAGATCTGACACCAAGTATTGATGCATGGACTACCACTAAAGAGACCCCAGAATTTGAGCCTGGTGAGGAGTACAGCGACTTCCTGATCGATAGTGGCTTTGGAAAAGAATGTGAGGCTGAGACTCGCAAGTTCTGGAACAATGAGATCAGAGTCAACTATCAAGGAGATAACGGCCGTCGTACGATAAGGATGGCGGCTATCAACCTGCGAGAGCGAGACGGTTTACTTGGCTGGTTGGTGTATTTCAAGTGTCCTGTCCTCTGGCTTCACGGCACCGCGAATCCGGTGTACAGCGTCTCGAACGCGGAGTAAGAGATCAAAATGTTCGTTAACAGCCCAGATGCGCAACTCAAAGTGGTTGAAGGTGGACAGCACTTCCTTAGCTTTAGCCATCCTAAAGAGGTAGACAGCGCTTTGATCGAATTCCTTGGCAAGTATGGTAAGTAGATTGGCCTGATGCGACGGGGACTTGGATCGCTTATGTGTTCGTGACGTCTATGCTTAGCATTAGGTAGATTTACGTTACACCTCTTCGCCATCGCAGCATTGGATCATACAAATGTATATCGTACAATATCAGGGTATCGTATGTCGTCGATCAGCAGATGTCCGTCCAACGCCTCGCCAAAAGCACGCGTGCTGTGGATGGCGCGCAGACATGGACTGAAAATACTTCAAAACTTTCAATGAGTTGAACTCATCACGCTCTAGAGTCAATCTGGTCGACCGGCCCGTTGTTAACAGAGTACCAGTCTTAATTAACACACGCCTCGTCAATAAGACCGTTAGGTATCGGGAGAATCTCGTCGTATTTGTAGGCGATGTTCATGCCGTGACCGCCGCTCAGGTGCCGGGCGAGGTGACAGTGGAAAGGCCAGACGCCGGGGTCGTCGAGCTCGAACTGTATTGCGGTGAAGCCATAGGGCGGAATGAGAACGGTGTCGCGGCGCATGGGGTTGGTTGGATTGACGACGCTGCCGTCCCATGTTGCGCCGCGGAAAATCGGGTCTAGCTTGCCTCTTCGTGACTTTGTTCGAGCCGACCGTCGAGGTGTCTCCGACGTTTAGTATGTAGAAGTTGTGGCCGTGGAGATGAAACGGATACGTAAGCGGCATGTTGTTGGTGATGTTGGGGATGTTGGGGATGTTGGGGATGTTGGGGATGATCGACGTGTTGTCGAAGAAGTAGTAGACGTTAGGCTGGACAAGAAACTTTTAGACGATGTTGTTGTCGTCTACCACTACTTGTCCCACGATAGTTGGAAAATGTGCACAGCGTTCGTTTGAAAAACAGGGACTTCGTAGACGTACTCTGGTCAATTGTATGACTGTCTCGCATGTATCACATGACGTCTAAAGTCATGAAGGCCGACATCATAGCGTCTTTTCCTCCCGACGCGTTATCGTGTCTTCCATTCCAAGTAGCTTCTCCCCGTGAATCAGTCGCCGAGAAACCGTTCCACATGTTACCGAGGATGACGCACCAGTGCTCGTTGTCGCATCTTCCATCGCGGCGCGAAGCTCCTGGACATGTCTCGAGTTATTGGCGCGATTTGAGACTATTCCGTGGAGCGCAGTCGAATTCATCAACGCCCCTTAGTGCTCTCCGACTCGGCGACGGCAAGGTCTTGACAGACCATTTCATCGGTCCACACACTGGGTTTGTGCTTTGAGCTTGGTGCAATATCTTACTTGTAGGGTACCAGAGCTGCGACCGGGGAAGAAATCGGCGATTTGCTTCCATTCGAGATGCTTCGTCTCTTTGAGCTCGACGAGGAGCGCATCATCTTTGGAAGTAAACTTCAGCTTCGGGGCCTTCTGCAGGGCGGCTGCATCGGGCATGCCAGGCTGCCCGACTACACTTGGAGGGCCATCCTCTTCGGCAGATGAAGTATCCTCGCCGTACCGTGCGCGCTGCGCTTTCCGGGCACGCGGCAGGTAGGGCAGACTATGGTGGTGATACTGTGATTGTGAAGGTAAGGTGGGGAACACCTGTCCTGGTTTCGCATGCTGCGGAAACGCACACTGAGATCGGACGTGATGAGAAAGAGCACCAGGTTGCAATTGAACATATTGAGAAAGTGGTGTGAGCTCGTCAGGAATCGCAGTACCAGCACTGCCAACATCTGCCTGAAGTTGCTGCGGATGAGAACAGTCGTACCCAAAGGCCTTGGGGTGGCTCCGCCTGCGCGATGGTTGCGATGTCTGCTCGCACCGGAGGCTCCTTAGGTTCTTACAGCCGCTCCAACAGAGCGAAGAAGACACTTGCACCGTCTGTGTCTGCATCTGAGGGGACAGAATCTGAGCTCGAATAGGTTCAAGGGACGGCTCCGATGCAAATGTTTGCGACAGCAGCAACGATGCAATGGTCTGTTGATGGTAGCCTTGCGGTTGTGGTTGCGCCTGCGCTAGAATTTGAGGGTTCGGGGGCTGAAAGTCACATGTGAGCAGCTGCTGATACTCGCCACTGGTCGTCTGTGTGGGCATAGTTTCATGGCCTTTGGCTCCATCGTCGAAAGTGTAGGCTTGATACGGTTGCATCAAAGTTGCGAATGGCCGTTTGGACTGCTAGAGGTCCATGCTCAGGTCAATGTGCAGCGAATGGCGGTCAAGCAGGTATGCCAGTAAATTGAGGCTCAACATGTGAGGCTAATGATCTGTCTTTCGGCAGACCAAGCATTGCACGCAATCGCTCTGCTTTATCTGTCCAAGTTCTGTTGTCCAGCACGTTTGCATGATCATGATGAGAGTAGCCGCTCATGACATTGACGTAGGGATAATTCGGCCCCCGATCCAGTGTAGCGAATGCCTTCTGTAGTTGAGGCGCGTATGGTCCATACGATATCTCCAGGAGTACCTGAGGTCGATCGATCTCGAGCCCGCCTGCTGGCTTTCTGTCAAAGAAGGCCCGAGGTGGTATTGCTGATACCGCTTGAATATGTTCTGCGTTGAGTGTTTAGAGGCGGTTTAACATCGCTTTGATCTGCTCGCGTCTTCCGTCGGCATCCGGAGACTCACGGTAAACCATTCCAGACCGCTGCTTCCTTTCCTTCCTGTTACGTGGTGTATCGGTCGCAAGATCTGCCGCTTGCATCCCATTGCCATCATGAGTACCAAGATCAATCTCCTGTTCAGTCAGGTATAGGACAGTCCTTAAGCAGCCCCATAGTGCGGCCTCCATTAGTGGTGTCCTGCCATAATGGTTCGCCTGTGATATCGAGCCTCCATGTTTTTACAGCCACTGCATGGCGTTGAGCCCGTGCTCTTCTGCGGCAGCCAGCAGGATACCTGTGCTGCCTTCCCCATCCGTGGCGTTAATATATTGGTCATTGGGATAACTTCGGCAGAGGAGTTGGAGCTCTCGCGTCTCATTTAGGATGCAGTGCGAAAAGTACATATTTCGACGATGATTTGGGTCCAGTAAGAGTTCCTCCCATATCTCCTCGGCGCTCTTGTCCATCTTTTGGTTTGTCATTGGGGGTTCACGCTTTCGTCCAGCGTCAGCGCGTCTAGCGCGACGTCCAGTTCGTCACCAACACCCTCAGCGTCATTGAAAGTATAGGTGACTTGATGTTGTTTTTGGAAGTGCGGTAGCAGAGTTCGGCCGTTTCGACAGTCGTTGATCGGCACGGTAACCATGCCTTGAGAATTGACAGTGATGAATTCACAACTTTCGATGTTTAGCTCCCAACCGTAACCAACAGCACCCGAGCTATGCATTCCGGGAAGACCAGCAAGTACTCGCCTCCCGTCTGCACATCGGTGCAATCCGCTTCTTCTCTGTTTACCAGGCGCACGAATTCTCCACCCTAGGTACGCATCCACCATACAGTCCTCTCTTCTTGGGCTTGTGACGGCTGGGTTGCTGATGAACCAGCAGTTTACTCGTTTCCGACATAGTCACATCGTCGCCTGGTCGCTGGCCCTGGGCGAGAAGAATGCCTCAAAGACCAGACCACGCCTCTTGCTGAGTTGGACGGTGCGGGCCTTACGCGTGGTCTGGTATTGACGTGACGGAGGAGGGGTAGGGATATAATTCAGTGCTGTTCGATGTCTGCCAGCGCCCGCTCCTGACGAGAGCGAGCTTTCACCTGCACCAGAAACGCATGCACCCTCACGAGCGCACACATGTCCCCAGCCAGATTCCGCCTCCACGCCGAAATCGTAGATATGCCGCCGAAATCAACGGATACGTATACATCATGAAATCGTGATAGTCCTTATACACCGCCGCGGTCTCGCTGTTTCGGGTATTGAAGAACTCGGGCAATGCTTTCCGCTCGATATAATGGACGTCGTGCATGTCGAACCAGGCACGGTAGGAGGGGAGGACGATAGCGTAGTGCTGCTCGATGAGGTGCGATCGCGCGGATTGCTCGACTGCGGGCTTGGTATTGGCTGGAGCAAGGGCGGCGTTGGTGAGAGCGGCGAAGTCGGCGCGCGTCCCGTCTTGTGCCGCTCACCTCCTCACCTTCGGGCACGTCGTCGCCGGCTGCTTCAGGGGAGGGGGGGCTTCGGGAGCGTCAAGGGGGTTGTCGAAGATGGGTTGGGTGGCGGAGTCTGCGGGGTTGTGCTGCTTGATGGCGGAGTCGGCCATGGTCGTGTCCGTATGCTCGTCCTCATTTGCCTCCGCCTCCTCATTCTCAGCTGTGATGAGGTTGTCTGATATCATTCAACCAGGCAATACACTATAGGTACCTCCAATAAGGGCCTCAGTGTATCCCCTGTCTACCTGTCAGTGCTACTGAGACAACGAAGCGGTGCGCCCCTTATTTGGGACGGCCGCGAATCACGAAATGGCATAGCTAATGGTCACGCCAACGTCGATCTCTAGATCGCCACTTACGTCCAGCTGAGTCGACGTGCCTGCCATGAACGCGATGACTTGCAGATCCTCACGGACAGTCGTCATCCCTCGTGTCCACACTCGCGGGGCAAATCGTGGCCGGTGAGCCGGTGACGTGGAGCTAACTCAACGAGCTGGTGCAGTGAGCCATGCCAACGTTTACTCTCTTCTTGTTGACCAAGTCGAACTCCTCTCAGAGTATGATCCCGCAATACAAAAGTCTGCCACGACAAGAATCTGGCCAATGGCACATTGTAAAGTGAAGATGAACAACGCCTTCCCTTCTTCCATTGTCGCTCTTCAATCCGACAAGAGCACGCTTTGAACACACACCAAAGGCTAGCGATATAGAGGGCTCAGCCTCCGGATTACCAGATCACCCTGGAGCCGACGTCCCCAACGAAGCTCAATTCCAATGGCGCTCTCGAGACAATCGCAAAGGCAACGAATCACCCTTCCAAACCTCAACAGCAACACTAACAACTCTCCTAGGTAGGCACGCCCTAGTCGTTCCAACCGACAACGCCGCCCAAGGCCTCCCAGCACCAACGTCATCCTCCCGAGCCATCGCCAACGGC